GGGACCATATAAATCGTTTCGCCGTTAAGCCCGCACGGCTCGGAGATTTCCGAGCAAATCCGGTACTTGTGGATTTCTTATTTTTATTTATTCTCTGCCGTTTCTTTGACACTTAACTGAAAGATACATATACTCCGTGCCGCTCATAATAGCCACAATTATATCAGGATTCAAAAGTGGGGGACGGGAAACACTGGCATTCGCAAAAACGTGGGAAAATACTGTACAGGGGAAAAGCAACACGGGTAGATCGTTATTTCTGAAAGCCCTGTCTAAATTGCCGCGCTAATTGCATTTTTTAATGACTCGTGAGTTCATGACGAAATAAAAAATCGTGCCGTGTAATGTTACGAGTTAGTTTATGAACTGACAGTCTCGGGCCCACTGTGCCTAGCTCTCAAGACTAGACAAACTTGAGCACATCCAGCCCTAAGATCAACGGACGCTTTGAAAGTCCATCATGTTACGGTGAAAGTTACTCAATGAAGAAAGTAATCCGTTGTCAAATATTGGTAGTGTCTGATCTCGGATATGTTCTCCGAGCTATGCATAAATTCAAAGCTAAGAAAACTAAGGGGTCACTAACTAAGAGCCATGAAGTAATAGTAAACAAGCGGACGGCACTGAGATATAATAAGGAATTTGGCAGTTTGACATAAATCTTGGCTTTTCCGGCAAAGTTTTATAATATGAAATTGGAAATTCGGTTCGAATGGCAAGGAAATATTCAGCGATTAGAACAAAGCAATAATGACAAGTGATGCTATACGACGCTATACGAAAAGCTTGAATACCTAGATACTGTAGTCCCCATTATTTTTTGTTGATCGATGGAGGTTTTTTCGTTTGCACAGATCTATCAAAGAGTCCAGAAGGGGCGCTGACGGAAACTTACGAAGGGGGTGAGAGCTTACACACACTTATTTTGCTCGTGGATACCCCCAGGCCCAGAATCGGGTGAAAAATTATGCAAGAAGCAGGAGAAACTTTCAAGCGTTGTTTAGATCAAGACTGGATCTTTGATATTACGAAGGCATATCGCTCCGGAAGGGTGTTGTAAAGGATCGTCCGAGCCAAGGAATTCCCAAAGAATGATAGTCTTTCTTTAGGCTTGTGGCCTCGTCGATAATGATGTTATAGCCGGTATATATCGCTACTTAAAAAAGGTATCGAAACTAGACGATATAGAGGTCCAGAGCATGCATCCAAGTTGTCGGAGATGAGGATTAGGATCCTAGAACATTCTCATGTAAAGTGTGCTAAAACCTGGAATGCGACTCTAGCGTGGGGTATGAACCCTGCTTGGCATTCGTTTCGTTGTCACCAAAAGAACGAGGACCAGACAGAATACCACAGCAACATTGATATTTGTTGTATACTAGAGATCCTCTGCATGTTGCTCTCGAGGGGGTTGCAGGTTCGATGTCAGTCTGATATATGCAGTAAGGTAATAGCGAAGTTGACCACTCGTAGCAAAGATAAGAAAGTAATCAAGCCCAGAGAGGTAATATGAGATAGGGAGCCAATGATGACGATAATCATATGACGGTGTCAATATTGTCTTCGCATAGCGAGAGAGCTCGCTGCTCATCTATGGAAATACATTGGAAATCGAATTTTGGAATGCTATACCCTGCAAAAGACCCTGAATGATGCAACACCAACAGTAATGATGGTGGTGCTTGAGGAGGTTTAATAGGCCTGGGCATTTTGTTTTCCAAGATATTCAGGTCTTTTATTGGAATGTATTGAGAAAATCCTCGCAGCCCACACCTTTATGGGCCGATTAAAACCGGCCCCTCATTCGGATCATCGTGAGTCTTGAGATGCCAACCCTGGGACCGATCTCGACTCAAGTGTGAGATGGATGATATTTGGCTTTGATGGTGTCGCGTAAATTTGCCATATAGATATTAGTATACTGAGGCTCATTGGCGCTGCGATCAAATCGTAACCGTCCGGGTCTTATCCTCTAGAAGGGGCACATCTTTCTTTCAAATAAGATATAATTAACTTTCCAAAATAAACGTCAGATGTTGGTCAGGGAAATCAGATAAGAACCTTGTCGAAGGATTATGATCGCGTGGGGACCATGGAAATCGTGATTGATGACTGCAGTAACTCTTACTGAAACTCATGCAGTATCGAAAAAGATGAAAAGGTTAAGATATTGCGCTAGTGTTCATTGGGTGGAACCCCTTGATTTTGCAACGTTCTTGGATATGGCATCCACGAGGCGAAGCAAACCACTACATCTTCGTAGCTATTGCAGGAAGTGAAAATCGAAGTATGCAGTAAGCTTTGAATGGTTACTTAGCAAAGTGAGACATTAGATATCGGAGAGAATTTCTAGCAATCAGCTATATACCCGTTCCGAGCTATTAATTCAAAAGTCGGAACCAAAAGAACATGAGATCCCGATGAACTGGTTTTGGAACGGCGAGCTGCGTGCAAGACTGGCAGTATCTGTACCACTTACCCTAAAGGCTAGCCACAGGTAGCGAGATGTGCTGCGCCGTCTACTCGGTTTTTAGGTCCCCGAGCTGGTAACAATGTGGACTCGATGGGCCAATTCTGTTGTACATTAGATATGTAAATAGCCGGATGTTCCCAATACTGCTGGCTTCCGCTCGCTTTAGATTGGCGAAGGTGCGATAGTCTCGAGGACATCAGCTCGTGGGTAAAGTCCTGTGATTTGGTGGAACATTCTTGGGGTTACTCTGTACCGAGTGTGTGTCAATGCTTGATGGTGCTTTGTGCATGACACTGAACAGGAGCGATATTGTAAAGTTGAGGATCTTGAAATTGACCGTTGGTGAGGTTGTGGGCGATTACACAACGTAATCACAGCAGTACAAACGAAGATTACGTCCTACAGTAAATTAGGATTGCGTACTCTGTACTGTTGTGACTTTCAGGCTTTGTTTTCCGGCTGCGAGTTCCAGGAACCCCGGAATTTCCACACGGCCATACCCGCACACCATGAATTGAAGCTGCGCCCTCCGGATTGAATGCTGTATGGGTTATTTCCGTATGTTGGCTGAACTTTGCTGTTGGCGTGTTTGTATCATACATATTATACATTTGTAGAAGTACAGTACAGGCAGCTTTCCGGGTAAGGGCATAACGGATTACATAATAAGCGTCAGCACTTCCTCTTCCAGATATTCTTGCGAATTTCTGCATACAAAAGTTTGGTGGCGAGCTTATACAACCATGACAGCTAGAGCAACCAATGTTGTTGCTAGTAAATAACAGGACCCTAACTCCCTGTCGGTGGAAAGGTGCCGCTGTTGATGTGAATTAACTTTAATGATTGACAGATGGAGGGGTTGCACATAGCAGTTGTGCATACAGTCGCAGATATGACATCCAATCGCAAAGCTTTTAAGCTTTCGATTGGATGGTATAGGATGAATTAGTTAAGGGTTCTTCGATCTTAAACGCGTGAGCATATCACAATTAGCATGAATAGACAGCTATCTTTTTCATTTCTGAAGGCCGTCAAGTCTTAGAACCCGTCCGTGCAAGATAATTCCCCGATGAACCATTTGGCATGCTTTAGTTTGCATATATTTGTTTCTTTTGCCAAACATGCAACCGTTCGAAGTTTCGTTGGAAATTCCTATTCTGGAAACATCAGCGATTTCCATGACACCCGTTGCAAAGTTTGAAGTGATGACACTTTGCACTATGGGACCCATGACTCCCGCTGCCATTTGGGCAGCATCCTCGAATATCCTTGGATATTTTGTTCTTGCCGTGACAATGAGGGCTGCTTGGATCTAGGTTGTTTGAGATCTCTGGTCGTTTCATGGGCTCGAGGGGCGGCTCATGGCCCCTCTACATTAAATTGTGGCTTAGATGCTTCGAACCAAATAAAGCACAAGATGCTGCAAGTAAGGAAATCCGGAGGACAGAAAGCATGACAACCTAACCCAAAGCACGAGAAGTCGGTTATTTTTCCATGGCAATTTGCACTTTCACTGCGTTGACTTCTGCTTTCCGAGAATACTGAGAGGGATCAGTACAAATTTCCATAAACATGGTGTCTCGGAAAGACGACATTCGCAAGATTGTACAAATATTTACAATCATCGTATATTTCATCTGAACTTGCCATGACATTTCCAGCCGTAGCTAAGTAAGTATCTCTGGCATACTAGAATCATGAGAAGGATGGCTGCAGTATGTTATGATCACATGTCTTACTGTTGTTCACTATACTGATAGCAAACAGAAGAGGATTCCCAAGAAATGATTCGCTTAGTACTTTGTATACATTCTCCAAAAATGCAAGTTATACGGCCAGGTGCAGGTACATCAAGCATGGGTATATAAATTGATAACTGCATTGTAACAAAACCCCACAGATCATCACGATTGAAGGGACTTTGTGTAGTATAGCCCAACACGACCATAGAAACCTCTGTAATATCGAATTAATGAATCTCACAAAATTAAGTGACTAGTCTAATAAACGTCTGACTATGCATGTTACCCAACCATAACGACATCTATCTCGATTCGTAACGTCGATGACGGTGCCGTGAGAAGGCCTTCGTATAAGTCCAGCCAGTCGTCTGCTGCATGCTTGCTGTAGCATCAAACCTGCCAACCGATATGTAAAAGAACTGAAGTATCCGGGCCTTGCAATATGTCATGTCATGTCCCAAGCCATAACCGAGCCCCACGATCTCGGAGAGCTCGGGGGTTAAATTTGAAATTTGGTGGCTAAATTTTACTATACCCTATCCCCAAGAATCCCATTGAGGATTGAAAAATGCCATATTGAGATTTACTTGCGAAAATTGTGTCACTTGTCAGATAGTTTCAAGATTCACATTTCTCTTACATGGAGAAGAACGGATGAATCATAAACGAACTCCTACACTCAGATCCGTTTGACCTTGAAAAATTTAGACTGGGTGCCTCGAGGGTGCTTATCGGCTTCCAGCCGTTCTAGTATTTCATTTTTTATTTCAATTGGAAAAATCGTTATGGTTGGTCCCAAGCAGACGGGTCACTCGGGTCAGAGAGAAAAAAACCTGCAAGATCCCATCGTTCTGCATCCTGCAAGCGTAAGCAGTAGCAATAGTGATAGGTCGCATTACCTTATCCCAAGTTCAAAAGGTATATTAGCTGGTGGGTATTCGGCGATTTGGATCTCCCCAAATAAATCACTGACAATGATCTAGACAGTTTATTTGTCAATCGCCAAAGCTTTCTCGGCTCATAACAATGTCCCTGTTCTGTACAGCTGTCATTCTTTCTTCGCCATTCATGCCCTAGGATCTCTTGGAAAATCATCAACTCCCGGTGTCGATCATGACACTGGTAGAGGTAAGCCAGTCAGTTTTGCCTGAACGTCGTGGCTTGCGAGGGGATCGGTAGTAGGTGAAACGAGTGGTGAGCTAATCAAACATCTCAAAGTTACTTCCTAGAACCCGGCAGATTACCCTTGGATGTCTTGCCCTATGTATTGCCATTTTCACAGACTCGCTCGGAAGGGGGATTTGATCTCCATGAATTCAGCTTTTAGGTCATCCACATTATGAATTCACTCTGCTGAAGCTAATGCTGTGTCACCGCAAATTGTAGCCTCGGTCCAATCGGTCAATATATCGTAGTAGCACGATCAGAAGCAAGACATGCGTTCTCAACGAGGAATCATAGGGAATTATAGGCAAGCTTTGTATTTGGAACTTTATTGCACACGAAATGGTTTCCAGCTAAACTTCATCAGTTTCTATTTTGATATCTGAACATTTCCCTGTCTGCGAGAGATGATGAAATGGTGTATTCTCGTAACCTACGGAAGTAGAGATTCAGGAGTAACTGAGTCCCAATATCTTCTAGGACGCTGCACTGTATGTTCTGTTTCAATGACAATGATGCTGTATGATGCGTAGGGATATCTCTGGTTTACTATTCCCTATATATAACAACAAAGTTAAAGTTTTATCAAAATTCATCTATGTGAGATATCGAATTATAGTATCTTTTCTCGTAAACTTTCTAATTGTGGATTTCATAAATTAATGACTTTAGAGACGTGTTACCTGCCCTGCTAGTTGCAGTGCGGAATAGCCACCTAACCCCCAAATCATAAATTAACCTCCCATTCGAGGGCCTTGTAGGCATTCCCGTTACTATAACTCGTTATGGTCTAGAACCGCGTGCTTTAATTTTAGCAATCAGAATTTTCAGCAAATCATTCACCGTTCACCGTGATTCAAGTAGTAATACCTAGGTATATGTGAAAATTCTAATGTCTTTTTGGCAATGATCTCTCCTCTTCCTCTGATCCATGCAGATTCGAAGTTTCGATTGGGGTGGTCGAATTAGACGGATTCTCAAAGAGGCTTTCGAAAGGTTAATAACAGATACATTAATGAGAAAGAAAAAAGCCGTCAGCCACAGAGGGATCCTTACAGATATTACATTTGTAAAGTCGTATTCTGATATGTGGGAAGACAGGAAGGGAAACACACAAGACAAGGCTGATCCCAGAAAGCATGAATAGATTGTTCAAGAATCAATGCACATACCAACAATCTACAAGAGAAAGAGGAGCACGGTGAGCACCGACCAGCAGACTGACCAGGGAGGAACTCCACCTATGACCATTGACCATCAAACCTGCCAAATTGAACATCATCTCGATACAAGTCTCCATCCATCAGCTATCACCTAATGTACCTTGACCTTTGCAGCTAAGCAATAAGGAGTAAGAAATATATCTGACCCATAAACCTTCTTACTCGACTAGGACATATATCAACGGATGCTGGGACATCCAAAAACTAAAACAAAACATCCCATGGAGTTTGTTTGTGTATGATGTTTCTTCATACTAACTAATAAACACTCGACCAAATCGCAAGTCTTCCTTCAATTGTCAATTGTCACCTTGACCTTCATCATTCGTTCGGCAAGGTGCAGTAAAGTTGCAGGTTTGGAACATTCCCCTGCTCGGTATTGAATAACATGGAATGTTTCCACCGGGAAATATAGCGGCTGCAGAGCTGCACGGTTGAAGAGCGTAAGTGTGAAAAAAGACCCCGGCATCGTGACGCTGGCACTTGACTTAGAACCTAGCTCGTGGGATGCAGCTTCTCCATTGCGGCGAACACTATCTTTGCATCTCACCATTCTTCTTCTTCAGAAGTACATACTAGATAGAGCCTGCCACACAAAACTTCAGTCACAGGTACATGATATCAAGGGTTCCTTAGTTCTAATTCCATTACTCGCAACTCATACACCTGGAACCTTTTTGGAACTTTCCAGGGGAAAACGCCACACTAGACGCCTACTGAGTTATAACCGTTCTTATTCTTCTTTTGGATTGACGCAAGCAGATTCCATGTAGCATCATCGACGAGGCTATCCTAACCTCACCTACCCCCTTCTTTACCAAAGCACAAACCTCGGACGGACATTAGCTCCACCTCTGACACTGCGGTATTCTCTTGTGGGAAACACCCCTGACACTTTGATCCTGTCCTCCCATCCTCTTAGCCTTCCATGGAAATCCCATTTCGGCAGCTGTGCAGCGGCCCGTTGATCTACCTTCTTCAACTAATCTATTATACTTAAGAGTCTTCAGTCCTCATTCCATTTTTTTTCAAAAGTCAAAATATGTTTTATATCAACTCGAGCTAAAGTGGGATTACTATTTATCACAACGCACACACCAAATCTACATACGGTTCACTGCAAGAACTCTATTTCGATCCTTTCCCTTTTTTACCAATATCGCCATCAAATATTCCTAGTTGAATCTCAGTACTACAGGAGTAACGTCACCAGTCGTTATAGTCTAATTCGAGGCCAGCTTTCGGGAAACACTCGAGTTTCCATTGGAACATAATAGATTTGCACCTAATCAAATTACCCATAAAAGTTATCGTTCTGGAAGCACTATTGTTTTATGAACTGATTTTTGGGTTTGATCCTGCCACTCGTAGTGGTCGATCTAGTCTTGGTCCTTGCCTTGGTAAGTCATTGAATTAGGCCGTTGCAGCTTCCGAATTGTCTAGTTCGAACTTTGAGAGTTCGGACATCTTAGTATAAATCTCGAAGTCGGCATTTATTGCCATCAAATCATCCTTTCACACTTTCATTTCATACTTCAATCATTAATGTCATCAAGTTATACTCTCACTAATATCATATAAGAATAATCAATACCGCTCTCTATATATCTTTCTTCTTTCCACAGAGCCATATCGGGCAAACACTTTGAAATGAACTTTCACACACCAGAACAATCTTACACGCAAGATACCCAGCCACGGGAAACACATCCCACCATGGCTTTGTTACAGAGACCTCACGTATTTTCTGGCTCGGATTGGCGTGGCCTTGAGCCTGTAGAGATGAGGTCAAAACCACGCATGGCCAATGTTGGGGAATCACTTCCATCTATTCGAACAGTAAGTGAATCTTCTAGGTTGCCCTTCAGGACAGTACTGACCTCCAACTAGATGTTTTCTGGATTTGAGAGCCAGGAAAGACCCATTGAATCCGAGTACAGACATGCTACATCATTTTCTCCCATCACAACAGAAAGAAACACATCTCCTGGGTCAAACAAGAGAATGAGATTATCCGACGATTACTATGATGAGGAAAGCCAGCAGCAACGAGAGAGATATCAATCAGTTAGTAGTGGTCGAAGCCCAATGACAGCGACCTACGGTTATCACAGTGCAAACTCTTCGCCAGTTTCCTCAAATGCCCGTCGAGAGTCTAGAGTTCATTCTAGCCATGGAAGCCCTTATGTTTCAAGGTCTGGACGAGAGCAACCTATTCTCTCAATCCCAGAACGCAGAGCCCAGAATCAAGATCACCACACTTCGAGACCACCATTCCATTCTCCCATCTCTGAGCCATCGAGTACGACATACCGCCCAAGCCTCCCAAGTATCACCACCCCCGACCGATCTTACGAACGAACTTACTCCCAAAACCCCGCAGAACGATCACATGGCGAATACCCTCCCATGAATGAGTACCCAAGAAACGAGTATGCATTGGAGGCTTCCCGTTCATACCACCAACAAAAATACGCACCTTCACGATCGGACTACGGTTACCACCAACCCAGAGACCAAGGTTACCCCCAACCTGCAACTTTCCCTCACCATCCAGGCCAAACCCCATTCACCAACAGACACCACGCAGGAAGTTACAGTCCAACTCCCTACCAAGCCCAAGAAATGGGCGACTCAAAACCTCGCAAGCGTCGAGGAAATCTCCCAAAACCCACCACCGATATCCTAACAACCTGGTTCATCAACCACCTCGAACATCCCTACCCAAACGAAGAAGAAAAGCAATTATTAATGAGACAAACGGGTCTCCAACTGAGTGCGTAGCCATCCAACCAACCCCCCAATCTCTCCCTACACATCATACTAACAAACTTTCCCAGACCAAATCTCCAACTGGTTCATCAACGCCCGTCGTCGTAAATTGCCTGCTCTTCAAAACAGCGCTCGTGCAGAAAACGCTGCCCGATCGCATCACAACCGAATGCACTCTGCAGATGGGGGACAGAGTCCCATGAGTCTCTGCAACAGTGAGCCAGGACTAAGTCCTAGAGCCGCATCTGCATTTAACGAAGGATGGCCTTCGCGCCAGGAAGAGCGTCATAGCCAAGAGCATTATTAATTCTTTCTCTTCTTTGTACTTGATTACATTTTGCAGCATTGAAGGCGCACTTTTTTTTTGGTTACGAACATGACTTTTCCAGCCAAGGCTTTAGAAAGGGAGAGGTTGTGTGCGGTTTTTTATTCTTAGTTTCGTTTCTTTCTTCATGTCTGCACTTTTGTTGCATTAATTCTACGACTTTTTTGTATTGCATTAATTCTACGACTTCTCTTGTTAAATTAGATTTGAATTTTGGGTGTTTACATGCTTCTCACAAGTGTAAGGGAAGGTAACCGCACTGAGGTATTATCAGGAAATGTATGACAACATGGGTATATTGGATTTGGGATGGACAGCAACAGATACCATATTTGTATATTTGGGTTATTCGGTGAAACCAAATTCACATGAGCTCAGCGGAGTAAATCACAGACTATCACATCATAGTCTGATGTAAAATTACCCGCGAGCGTCATTGTTAATGTTTTTTAATTCTTACCATATTTTCGCTTCTTATAATGAATATATTACCTACATAGTACAGTTAATAAATCGAGTATTCGCATTCTACATTTTACTGCAAATTGTAAAAGCACGCACGCACGCACGCACGCACGCACACAGATAGAACCCCAGAAAATGTGCCTCGGGGTGAAAATCTCTCGTGCCGTGCGTCCACTTTCAATCACGCATGCGTACCCACATTGATCGCTCAGTTGTTCGCTCAATCTTTCCCTTGTTACGTTTTTCTTAGTAATCTGTTCGGGTACACATTCACATTTGCACATGTATATCCGTATTCCGCTTTCAGCGTTGCACAACTTTATGCGTATCTTCCACGTTTCCCGCTTTCAAAGTCGATCACTTCGCCGCACTTAGGCAATCCGTGAAAACTCCTCTACTCACCGGTATTCGTGGTATTCGTCCTCCCCGCTGTTATTTTCTGAGGGTTAGGGGGTTAGTAGAATGTATCATGTACTGTTGCGTGGTTGTGGCATAGTATGCGTTTGCTTGTCTCAGATCCAAATCTGCAACACCCACCCGCATGGAAGCCATATGGAAGGGAGAGAATCATTCAAAATGCAATACGTCATTGAATATTCTCAGTCAGACATCAATACATTTGGATCATTGTTATTTGAGTTTCTATACGAGTCCTTCACGAGTCCTTCACCACCATGTGATGTCTAGGCCTCAAATGTGGGGTACTTTGCTAATTGTTCGCTCACGGCATATAAGCACAGTTATACATTACTAGCACCGAGCATTAATGTGTAAAAGGCAGGAAATTCTCCGACTGCAAGGGCTGGCTGAGCTTATTTTTCAGATACCATTCATATCACTGCAAAAGCTCTCGCTGCATGAGGATTTTCACATGGCAGTGCTTTGTCGAAATGTGCAGAAACTGAGGTCAGACTTTGAAGGAGAAGATTGTCCTAATGAATTAACCAAAAATTGACTTGACATGACAAAAAAGAAAGTTAACAGACGCCATTTTCATCATCGTATTAACCACCAGGAAAATAAAAAGTGCCACTAAAAGCACTTGGCTGACTGACAGACATCACTATTTGTCATGGAGTCGCTACTCAGTAACAGAATTACAGTACCTGAAAAGCCACTGTCAGAATTTTTTAGTACACGATAGCGTACACTTATCGTGCACAAATCCACCGAAATGCTATTCGACAATCTTCTCTTGACCTTCTATCAATCGATAGTTTCTATTTTGAGTTTGAGATGGATGTCGTACAATGACTAGAGTTATCTAGATGCAGCGAGGGACAAAGCTCATGTGCATTTCATGAGCTAGACACCGTGATTTCTTTCCATGTAAAGTTAGGAGAAGGACAAGCTTCGGTACTGAGGGTCAAAATGATTGGCAACCTGTCATTTGGTGACTTTATTTAACTACCGGTGTGTCGAGTGTGTCAATCAATTTCCGATGGCAAAAAAATTAGACCACATTGGTCGTAGTAGATAGCGATAGAATTGTCAAAGTGTCCGGTAACTCGGATACATGGCGAGATATAGTGTAAGTAGAAGTTCTGGGGTCAGGCACGAGTCACATGACATGGTCATGAGCAGATGAGCAGTATTGAAAAGCAATAATAAGATCATAAGACAGCAATGAATTAACCAAAATGAACGTGAGGTACAGTAATTGCAAAAACCATGTTTATTAATGGAGAGGCTGTGATTCGGTTGAGAGGATACTGGGACTATTTTAGTTCGTGATATAGGCGAATACTATTTTCAACCATTTCCAACTATTTTCACTGGTATTATATCAACAATGGCGGAGCGGAATAATCCATGGGAGAGAGACGGTCTCCTCGCCGAACGTTTACGATCAACTTAAACTTGCCCCTTAAATTTCCCAGATTATGCGGCCAAGAAACGTTCGATACGATACCGCTAATGAAACATATATCGAGATTCAAGATGGAAATATCTCGCACTGTCTCATTCCATGCCGCCTTGAACTGCTTTGACATGTTAAGAAAAGCATTTGGCAGATCCCAAACCTTTTTCTGATATCTCCGGCAACATCTCCGGTGACAGTTGGTACAATGCATGCCACGGACAGTCACTTGACATTCTTACTCCACGTACATTTTCTTTTTTGCCTGTTTTCACCAACCAAGCCTTAGTTGAAAACCCGGAGCTTAATACTGTCGGGACTTGACGTAGATCACTCGACTAAGTACTGATTAGGATATTCGATATCCGCTAGTGCGTATTATTCCTTGTTTCGAAACCAGCATGACCATGACACTGGATGGTGAGCGTGCTACTGAATTTAGTCAAAAAAAGGTTCCTTCCTCTTAGTAAACAGCGAAGCCCGAATATGCCAAGGATACAGACCGCCGCCATTGATGTCAATGGTACTCAATTGAATCACCCACGGTCAACAGACAATGGTATTGCAAGTTGCAACGCTGGTAGAAAATCCCAGTGCCTGCCCCTTACTAGGTATTAGCTAATGCCATTTGTTTTGCCATAGTAGTAGCACGGTGAATTATCGAGATTTGCCTTATCCGCAAGAGTACTAGCAAATGGGGTGCAGTAGACAAGTATGCACGCTACTGGCACAGGACCGGAATCTAAGACGGGGATTCGAAGTCTAAGTATCAAGAACCCGATTGAGGTTTCGATTGAATAGGTACATAATGGTGAGTTGTTGTTTGTCCATCAATGTGCAGAACAAAAAGAGAAGAAGAAAGGAAGAGAATTGTTTTTGGGGCGAACAAAACAAGCTTTTTCTCAAATTGTAAGTTCCCTGCGCACATCAATCTTGTCAAAATCGTATCAATCCCGATTCCCGACCAATCAATCAAAGTGGAAGATCGCCCGAAGACCCACTGGGATAATCAAGGGTCACCCGTCAAACAAGGCCCTCTCTCGCCTCGAATATCACTTGTTCAGTGGCCATCACACAGACACGCAAGTGCACACGCCGCCTTTGTCCCTTATAACATGCAGCTCGTATGGTTTTGGTGGGAGAAAAAAACCCTAATTTGGATCTATGTCCGCCTCACAAGTCCTCAACAAGGACTGCAATTTTGAGATGATCTTTTTGGGAAGTGGCTGCCACCACAAGGCCAAATTGGTCGAATCCACGAAATGAAGCCCTGTCCCGCGGTCCGTATCGTTTTCCAACACTTTGATGATCGTATTTGTAAGGTAGGCACTGATGAAGGTGATGCTGGTCATCAATCGGATGATAATGAATGGTCTCTTACCGACTCGAAGGTCCAGGTGTATTTCTCCACCTGCCGGGGGCAGCTGAGCTCCAATGAACTTCAGGATTTTCGGGATCTTCCATAGATGATCTACTGTGGCTAAGAAATTGTTATTAAAGGTATTCACATCCACTGATGTGAACATTGAATGGGTTGATGTTTCAAATCATGGAGTGAAGATGCGCTTATCGCCGATTGGCTGAAGGGCAAATCACGGACAGTGCCAGCATTATGCTGGGGAAAAGGGATAGCCTTGTTTGTATGCAAGTAATGAAAACACATGAGAGATGATCTGGAATGAGAAAAAGCAATTGTTTTTGGTTTCTGTGCGTGGTTTGTTTTTTGAGGGGGAGGGGGCAATGGACAGTGGGCATTTGGACGAGTAGAAAAGTATTTCCTCATCAGACCCCGCTGTCCACGTGTGAACGAAAAAAGCAAGAATAAATGATGATATAATTGTGTAACATTCCCGTCCGAAGCACTGATGAAGTGCATGAAGATATATATTACGCTTTTCGGGATGATAGTGCCAAAAATTGTCCGCCTCAAGTGAGAAGTTCCGCCCGGCGCGACGGCTCAAGTGGACATCGAATGAACTTGGGAGTCCCAAGTCAAGACGTCTGGCAGTGCACATCATGGTGATTCGCAGCAATCCTAGGAGTCTGGACTAGGTATATCAGAATCATCAATTTGAGTGAAACCAGGTCTTCATGGAAAATAAAAATAGATATACCAGGTTCAAGAGCTGGTATGAATGAACGATGCTGGTACTTTGTTTGAAACATGTGTTGCGAAAAGGAGAGAAATGGAATGTTTGGAAGGAACTGCGCAAAAGTTAATAATACTCATGAAGCGTACAATTTCTTTGAAACTACCATTGAACCCATAAGGTGGGAGACATTGGATAAAGATTCATCCTACCAATAGCAGTAAGGAACATTGATCTCTTTCAAACAAAATATCCATCAACCGGAGTGTTCATGCCGTTCGCAAGGCTGGAGAAGTGGCAATTAATTCGACATGAATCGGACAAGCTTATACTGTCATGGTTATGGTCGGTTTTGTAGGAAGGAGTTTGCTGGTTGAGTTTTATGTCGGTTGAGAGTGAAAAGGACAGTAGAAATATCTTTTATGAGTGGACGGGTGCTGGGAGTAGAAGTAATAGAACAGGAAAGCGCGTGTACACCATAAAGGGAAGGAACGGATTGTCATTGAATACAAGTGACCAAGATACTGTACTCCAGTTCGAAAATCATTTTTAATTCTTCCAGCAAAGTTTATATATGCGATATGAGATGTATAAAAGATATGTCGTAAAAAGCTTGGGGAAGCGATATTCTTAACCGCCACCAGCTCTCAGCTCACAGCTCACAGCTCACAGCATACAACGCCAATTCTTGATTAGAAACAGTTTCTAAAAGCACCACTCATTACCTAGGTCTCTAGGTATCATTTTAAAATGAACAAAGTGCTTTGCTCGCCCTCTTTCCCTCTTAGAGAATCGATGAATTCTCGTCCTCTTATCTACCCAATGAACCTAAAACTTCAAGAGCGTGCAAAGGAACACTCCTAAAAACTTCGTTTAAACTTCACTTCACTCCTAATAACCCCCATTTCCACACCATCAACACTCACTTACTTCACCGTTCACTCGACCATCCTCACCACACATATCCCCAAACGAAACCCCTTATTGCACATCTAATCCAACCCAAACCGTCCATCCCAAATGCTTCTTCTCTCACTCGTCTCGATCGACCATCTTCTCGAGCGCGTTACTCGTAAAGCACTCTTACAATCCATGGCCCCAACGCATACAAAAAATCACCAAAAGAACCATCGACAGAAGCACCAAAAATGAGAATGGAGAAGCGAATATTCAAACAGTATCTAGATGTATAACTGAAGGGCTGTACTACCCATCACTCCCCAACGGAAATAATACCAATCCAGAGGATACAGTATCTCGTGGCTAGCTCAAGTTATCAATCCTCAAGCGAGGCTTTCCCCCACAACCTTTCCCTATTGCATTTGATCAATCGTAAGAGAGAGGACCGCAGGGGGAACCCGCCCAACCCACAGCACAGGAAAAGTGACCCGCCGCAACCGCTCCAACAAAACCCAGCCAAACAAAGCAGACGGCCTCCCCCCTCCCCTCCCCTCTCCCTCTACCCCTCTCATCCACCTCCCTCCCCAACATCCCACCTCTTCAATTCCCCGAACCACCACTCATCTTCCTCCCCACCCTTCCCCGTTCCCATCCTCTTCCCCATCACATCGAAGAACCCCTTACCCCACCCTTCTCATCCACTGCATCCACCCCCAACAATACGCATATCCCCTCACTCCCCATCTTCGCAATCTCCTTCTCTTCTCAAATCATCCTCTTCCTTATTACACCCTACCTTCCATTCACTCTCTCCCTTCTTCGTACCCTCCCTTCCCTCCCCTTCTCCACTTCTACTCTGCACCAAATCTCCTTCATCCCCAGTGCTCATTCCCATTCCGGCCTATACAGAACCCCTCATCTCCGTCACGCCTTGTATTTAATCCATTCACCTCATTGCCCTGCAATCGTCATAGACCACCAACAACCACCATCCATCCTCCTCCATTCACATTTTCTTCTCGCTTCCACTTATTTCTTTGCCCTTCGCACCCCCCTCACTCTCCAACCACACTCTTCAACCACACTCTCCAACCACACTCTCCAACCACACTCTCCAACCACCACTCTCCAACCACCACACTCTCTAATCACATCCATCTTTTCCTAAGAATCTGCGAAACCAACACCCTAAACATCCTTTCTCCCCACTATCTATGGAACTACTCCGCTCTTGAAATTGTAGCGGTGGGATTAATTGGCGGAGTAATATTGTATCTTCTTCCAAGACCAGATCCGCATTCATCACCTCCAACTTCCACTCCATTCCTAATTACCATAGCAAAACTCCAACCAAATTTCAACTCAAGTGGTCATTTCACTCACATTCTAAACCTCTCAGTATTGCTATTGCAAGTGAGAAGCCAAATCATTTATAATCATACTAAATCTTCATTCATTCTAGTCTATCCATATCCACAATCTTCTTTCCTGAATATGTGCAGATTTGAAAGACAAACTACCACTACCACCTATAGCTGATCACCCCATGCATCCCTTCATTCATCCAATCCGTTCATCCAAACACCAGAGAACTATACAACTCAGAAGGAAGAAGATCCAAATTCTTTCTATCCATCGTAAGAATTAAAAAACACCCTACTCCTATCATCCAGAATAACGCCATCCCCTAATTCCGCTCAAAATCAACTGGAAATGAGCACTTGTCCCATCTTTCCTAGTAGTCATCCTATATTAAGGATTCGACAATGAAACGCCATAAAAACACCAACGCCAAACATTAATGGTATCTTTTTGCAATCTAATGTCTTCACGCTAAACATTACTAATCTCGGACTTTTGTTGACTCTTCGCTGTGCCAATAGTGTGTTGTGGACCTAATATCATTGTTAGTATTGGGTGATGTTGTTAAAATTCGTAGAAGCTTACCTTTGTTGCGAACTTCAAACTTGTCAATGTTTCGCCCATATGCAGGCTTCCAATGGGACTAGCCATGACGAACATGAGAGTCTTCGAATTTCCTCCAAGGGAATATTGTAGGAGATAGGTCAATTTGGAATTGCGGTAGGGAATGTGGGTACCCTCTTTTCCTGATCCCAATGCCCCGATAACGTCACCCAGACAACTCAAACTCTTGTTAATGTTTTGAGTTTCCTTCATTCGATCTCCTTCGGCACCAGACACCTTCAATCTTTCGGAACCAGCAGATCAACCAAGTGAGGGTACCCTTCGCAAGTCTCATTTGTAGAACTGTTTCGTCCAAAAGCTTCAAGATGAAGGGGGAACAGAGTGTGATCTTGATGATCGTTCGTTGGATTTGGTGGCAGCAACGCTACGATTCTTGTCCGCCTTCTTAAGAATTGCTTCTACCGCGTTTGGTGAATCCAAAAGCACAGTCTCCAATCCAGTAACAGTGGTTTGCTTCTTCTTATCGTCATGTCGGACCTCGTGCTTCTTCTTGTCAAGGTCTCTAGAGCTTCCCAGTAGATCATGAATTTCCTCGTTGTAGACTTCAACAAAGCTAACTTCCATCGTATAAGTCCATCCTTTCTCCTTGAGAGCTTCGGCGGACTCATAGATTTGATGAGTGGCACGAGGAATCATACCATCAGCAGATGACATGGTATGTGTCTTTCCAGCGCCTGTTTGCCCATAAGCAAATATACAAACGTCTGTAATCCATCCAAAGCACTTTGGACTAATTGTGGAAATTTCTCGAAGACCTCCTGATTTTGACTTGATGGTCCAAAAACCCTGTCGAAGGAGAACGCGTGTGAGTTTTCAATCGAGACTTTTCCAAAGTTGCTCCTCTTCTCCTTTCCAATGATCGATAGCTCCTTTGACTCCTTGTCGGTGTCAGGAAATAAGATCTTTGCGCACTCGCCCTCTGCACCTTCTTTGAAAGTCGGTCGAACTCTGCACATGACCCGAATATTTCCTTTCAGCTCTTGAACTTGGTTGAAAAGAATACGACGAAGAGTCTCCTCCTTGATTAACTTCTGTTTGGATTCCTCTGCGGAATTAAGAGCTTCCTGGAGTCGCCCTTCCATCTCAACAAAACTATCGGATTGGGCTTTGCTTCCAGACTCCAAGAAATGAATTCTTGCGCGAAGGCTGGCCGACCGTGCTTTCGAGTGTTTCCCATCGTTGCTGATGTTTCAACGCCTGTCTTTTGCATGGTTTGCTGAACTTCCTTGATGGTGTTTAGAGCATTCTCCTTCAACTCTCTCTCTCGATCGATATTAATCTTCAGTTCTTCAAGCTCCGTCTTCAAAATTTGAAGTTCTTGCTCCTTCATCTGCAACGCAAGGTTCAACCCTTGGTGACCTGTAGTGGACTTGCTTTCAAGCTCCTGGACCTCACGTAATCTTCGGCTTCTCTCTTCCTCCAATTTCGCATCACTTTGTCGTTCGAGACTTCTGATACGGTCTTCAAGTTCGACAGCCGATCTTCGTTCGAGCTCCAGCATATCGTTTCGGTGAGTACGAAGAACTCGGTCAAGCTCATCTATGTTGTCTCGTCTCATTTTATCTGTCTCGTTGCGATGGTTTCGATTTACGTCATCCATCTCGAGACGGTGCGCTCGAATGTTGTCATCCAAGGCATTTGTGGCTTCAATCAGTTTCTGCTGAATCATACTTAGTCTCTGGGTCGTATCATCTAAGTTAGCTTGTAAGGTCTGGTTGGAAGACGAAAGATGTGTTTTGAGGCCTTCAAGTTCATCGACTATATTGGAGTGGGTTAGTCATTATTCAGTCCAGAGAGCTCCAGTATGCTACTCACGTTTAGTTTTGTATTCGCTGACTGCATTTCTAAGTGCGTCGTGGTCCTTGCCTGTGCCGTCGACTGTTGATGCGAGCCTGGCATACATTGCTTCCATGGATTCGAGGCGACTACGTACATCAAAGGCTACTCCGGAAACATTAGAATCTTTTGTCAAATATGGTTTTTTGGTGGGGGAAAATTTGGAAGATTTGCAAGGAGTCATGGGTGTAGAATTGAAATATTCCGACTTAGCAAGGACAGGAATATGAGAAGGCGTCTTCGGAGCTACTGAGCTATGAACCGGAGCCTGATATAGAACAAGTGCGGCTTCTTCATTGTCTACTCTCAAATTCCGATGTCCTACGCTTTGGGAAAACCTGTGTCGAATACGGGGGTCCTTCCTTGGTGTTGAATTCAAGTTGTATCCCGTGGTTGGATCAGTCTGCTCATCATTGATCTGGAGCCTACTCAATGCCGTACTAACGGAAAGATCTCGTAGGCTGTCCTGGGAGTGAGATCTCACTGAGTTGGTTGAACGATGACCGCGGACTTTTATAACTTCCAACTCGGTATTTCCATTCAATTGTTGGGAAGATGTAAAAGCAGGTACTGGGATCATGGGCTTCCGTCTTCCTCCAGGGGGTGGCATACCGTCATCATCCGAAGAGGTGCTCGAGGCATTTGTTCGACCTTTAGATTGGGATGTATTGGGCCTTGTAGTTGTAGATTGACTGTAGGATGGTGGGCGTGAGCCAAAAGCAGACTTTGGTCGTCCAGGTCCAACACTTTGAGAGAAGCTGCTGCTTGATGTGTGACGCGAAGATACTGATGGTGTCCGGGATGACATTGATGAAGCTGAAGTGGTTCGTGGTTGAGAGAAATTATTCTTTATCTATTATCTGTCAATGAACAAATCCGATCGGCGCAGAAAATGCGACTCACATCTACAATAGAAGTTCCTCTAACAGATGGCTTGCGTACAGAAGGTGTTCGAGTCATTGTAGTAGCAGGCTCCCCTGCTCTTTCAGCAAGAGTCTTGCGTTTGGGTGCCGGTTCGTTGCTTGACTTGTCATTTTGACGCTTCAAGGTTGTAGGTTGTGGCATCTTTGATGGGAGTCGTGATCGAACGTTGCCATGAGAGTCTGTGATTTCTGCAAGAGGCTTTCCGAGAGAAGGAATGGCACTCATTGTAGGTTTGGATTGTGATGTGTGCGAGTACTGTTGCACACGAAAGGTTTCTTGTTAGTATTTGATGGCACTTTTATTTGTTTACTCGGAATGGATGTTGTACAGTACCTGATTTTCTTCTTGATATTCCATTATAAGAAGTAGCAAATGCTACACAATATTAAACTAGATAGAACATGCAAAGATAAAAAGAATTGAATGGGTAGCAACGCGTCCAGGTTGAGGAGCAAATGGTTGTTCTTGTCGGGTGGTAATTGGTAAAATTGAATACTTTAACGCTTTTGATGTATTTTCGAGTTTGATTCTGTTTACCTCAGTATCCTGGTCTCGAGTTATCCCTTCAATTTTGGTTGCTGGGGAGAACTCGGATGACTAAGAAGTCAGTTTTGGTAAGGTGACGATTTTATGCATTTTTGCTAGTTTTTGTCCCACCTGTCAGAACTTATGCAATTTATGCAAATCTAGATTAGATCATCACATACCGGTATACCTCCAGCTGTCATCCATTCATCTTCACGTGTCAAAATAAGCTTATTATTATGTTTGTATGTACCTGGTACTCCATATGTGTGATGTGAAAAAAGATGCGACTTTTGCCCACCAAAGAAAGTATTTAATACTGTCTTGTTCAAGCAGCTTACAACATTCTTAATATACTGAACAGTATACGGTCGGTTGGTCTGTTGTAGTAGGAATATCAACAAAGTCATGATATTATAGTATTTCGAATAGTTTTCCTTCATCCAACTGTCCAGCTCATCTACCATGGAGAAATATTCACAGTTTCGCGACAGAGGTACGTATCACACCCACATGAAATCTACTGAAATAGGAAGATCCCAACTAATCCAACCCATCATCCAGGATCTGGTATCGCTCCGTTCTTACCCGTTCAAACTCCAAGTGCCGGCATCTATGCTCCCGTCCATCTTTTTCTCTTCCTCTTCAAATTACCACTCTTCCTCACAGTATCCACGACTTATTTTCTCTTCCTACAATGGTTTCCCTTAGGGTCCCTACTCAAGAAAGCGATATTATGGATGTTACTTGGAATACCGGGAGTGTGGTGGATAGATTTGCAGATTGATGGAGTGAAGAAAGGTTCTCTGGCGAAGAAACATGAAGGACGAGTACCAGAACCTTCGGATATTATCGCATCCTCCTTTACATCACCCATCGATTCTTTATATTTGGCTGCCATCTTCGATCCCATATTCACAGTGTCCTACCCGCATACCCGTCAAGTTCACCAAATTTCTCTTCTGGGCGCCATCTTCCGAGCACTACAAAGTCCCCAGGAACATCCACCCAAGGGTTCAAAAATGACTGATTTGTCCGCCCTACTCTCTCGATTTCCTGGGCGTGCTATCGTAGTTTTCCCAGAATGTACAACTACAAATGGAAAAGGAATACTACCCGTGAGCCAAAGTCTTTTGACTGCTCCTTCAGGAACCAAAATCTTCCCAATCAGTCTCCGCTATTCGCCCTCAGATATTACGACACCCGTCCCAGGGAAATACTGGTCATTCTTCTGGAATCTTCTTTCGAAACCTACACATTGCATTAAAGTCCGAATCGCTGAAGTTGTATACAATACATCCATGTACGAATCAGAAAAGGCCACTAAATACTTGAAGAATCAATTAGATACGGCGTATACAAGCAGCTCAGATACTCTCACGTCTAAGAACGATCTATCGGCAGAAACAACATCAGAAGAACAACGTGTCTTGGATAAGGTTGGGGAAGCATTGGCACGATTGGGAAGAGTCAAACGCGTTGGATTGACTGTGAAGGATAAAATTGCATTTGTGGATGCATGGAATAAGAAAAGATAAAAGATGTATGATATGGTGTTCGAGGCATACATCTATGGAACAATATCATATGGGAACCTTGACTCAATGTATTGGGAGGAGGATGGTTTGATACCTAGTGGATGTTTACAACTAATCCCACTCAATCACTATAAATATTCACTTCGATTTAACAATGAAGTCTTCAATCATATGGTGTCCCCAAGTGTCTTGAGTGTTCCATTTGATAGAAGGTTAGCAATATACCGAATTTCAATAGTATAAGTCATGATAAAGGATACCCCTGATGGTTCAGAATGATCTATCCTCAATACTGCATGGAGAATATTCGTTTGTTTCTTGTTTACTTGCATTAGCCATTTCACCTCCATTCTCTAAACTCTCCCTATTGTTTATCCACCCCCTCCCCAAATTAACTCACCCTGACTTTGTTCAACCTCCCTTCTCTTTAACCCCTTTCATTTTTTCTCTTCCTCCTTCCCCTCAACTACTTATTTCGCCGCTCCCTTTGAAATCCTTGTGCTCCAATTTCTGGCCCTCCCTCAAGATATCAAGATCCATGATGAACGCCCAATCAAGTTTCACAAGGTAAAACCAACAGTCCAGCTGACTGGCTCATCACCTTGCCTCATACCTCCACGAAAGATTTATCTATCATCTCCTATGCTATTGCATAGCCTTCTTCCTAGCTGCTGTTAGTTAGATATCAAATTGAGATATCCACGATGTCATCACGTATTGAAGATAACACCCAGGTACACATCAATATCAATCTCACATCAGGGTGAAGACTATCGATGAATAGGATCTGAGATGTGAGATGTGAGATGTGACATGCCACACCTCAAATCCATATTTTAGTAAAGAGTAAGCTCTGTAAATGAGGATAGTAAGAAATTGAATCGATGTTGACATGGTGTGATGTGATGTGATGTAATGAGGAAAGGAAACATATCTTTACTCTCTAATTCATCTCACAAGCAAGATTTCTGTTCTTCAGATGATAGGTCTATATTGCATATGGTTAGGAAGTCATAGGAGTGCTTTTGAAGGATTTGGGTACATATGTACTCCGGGTTTCATAGGATGAAATGGTTAGGGGGAGCTTGGGTGGGGGGTAGCGATGGGTGGGGGGTTATAGAGGGCGGTATGTTTTGGATGGATGATTGTTTTGGTTGTGGTGATTTGGTCATCGGTGTATTTGAAGAGGAGAGAATGGGAATGAGGAGAGGAGAAGTGAAGAAGATGGGAGGGAAAGGGAGTGAAAGGAAGAGAGATACAGAGAGTCAGTAAACCAAGAAGATTGAGAATATGAGAGATCGAGTGCGCATGAGGTGATCAAGAAAGAGTATGCGGGAAGTGATTGGCGCGCACAAAAAGGAATAGGAAGATCCAGAGAATGGAGAAAGAATTAATATCAGTAGAAGATATGTTTCTACAGTGAGTAGACGTCTAGAGGGCATGAAAGGAACAATCCAGATATAAGTACACTAGAACATACATCCTCTCACATCCCCTCATACCAAAACATCGAATGCCCAAAAGAAACATCCTAAAACCCCCCGACTGAGAATCTCACTAATAGTACAGTATCTCTCGAATCCTTCAAAGATAAAGATGCTGTTAGAAATCATCAAAGATGTAAAAATTCATATATTCCCTATCTCCCATCTTACCTAGTGTTCATATATAAAATAAAATAAAACATATTAGTGATTGAGAATATGGAAGTGCATGTATAATTCAGGTTTTTAATCTAAGAGCAGGAGTGTAGAAGTGAAACTAACCTCCCACCAGCTTTTTCCCTTAATACTCTTCAATGCTTAATGCTTCAATGCTTCAAATATATATCGAAGAGTTTGAGAATGGAATCTCCACTACACCACAACCACACCACACCAAAACCTCAACCAAACAATCTTCCGCAGACGGTAAAATATACCAGTTCTAAATCTAATTTCAATATCCACTCCCAAAAATCTCACCTCACCCTTCCGCTCTTTCAAAATTCAAACCGGCTCCACCCCTTAATTAGAGCAAAACTACAAAATCCAAAACTCCTCAATTCTTGAATCTTTCATTGAAACTCTGGATTACAGCTCTAAAACTATAAATACATTTCATTATATCATATATATCATATTCTATAACACACACCCCAAAAAACCACCCAGCTATCGCTAATAGGGGAAGCCTACAAATTAGCGAGCAGGATTTCTTTTCCCCTTTTCCTTTTCCTTTTCCTTTTCCATTTCCACTTTGCATATAAGATATTATCTATCTACCTACTTATAATTATCTCATACCTGCATAGCTGGGAATCTAACAATAATATCTACGATATAATATAATACAATACAACGATTATAAAACTCGTAGAGGATGGAGATTAGATATGTCTATTCTTTATTATTCATCATTCATCTTATCAATATCAATATATCCCAGATTTGATCAAAAATTCAAAAATTCAACGCATCTCGATCATCCGTTGAGTAGTCAACTAATCAGCTTGCTAGACATTTTCACATGTGAGGGAAACTTCTAGATGATCTCAATACATATACACACACACACACTCTCTCTCTCTTTCTTCAGATACCGATTTTGAAAAGCTAGTGCGTTTCTTCTTTTTTGAATCTTATGTTTGAATACTACGAGATTAGATTAGATTGGATTAGATAGTTTTATTTTATTGTATATAATTTTATATATTCCATTCTATTCCTTTCTATCCCATTGATAAGTTAAAGAAGTCTGGTAACTATAGCTATATTACCCCATCCATTTATACTGTATATCTCGTTGCTATCCCTGCTATTCCTTTCATCTGTTATGAATAAACTTGTAATTAGGGATGCGAAGACTCAACATCTGTACACAGTGCATCCTACAAACCTCCAGCTCTCTCTTGAGAGTCTGTAGAGCTAAAATTGAGTTGCAAATGGAATTAAAAGAATTGAAAAGAAAGAGGTATCAGAAATATAGCGAAGAATTATATTATAATTTTATAACAATAATATTTATAAAGAGTTGAATATTAGCTTTAGATATGAATACAAAGATTATAAAAGCTTTAGTCAGATTCAATATCTATTATTGATTATTATTTTATAGAAATAAGATATGCAATAGGTCTCTTTTCTTAAGAAGAGTCTTTTCAATATAAAGCTTGTATTACTCTATTTGTACTACAATCCCTTTTTTTATATCCTTTGGCTTTCAATCACTTGAATATCACAACAATACAATACAGAGAATACTATTGCCTTCAAATTAATATTATACTCTAAGTATTAATACAATATAACGTTTTTCCTTTTAATTTTCGAATTTTCGAATTTTCCGAATTGATTTGTGTATAGGCTTAGGGTTTAGCTTTACCCTATTATTATTAATAATTTCGATTATATATATCTAATAAAAACTAAAGGATATTAAGTTTATAAAAATATACAAAGGGCTAATTTAAAAGAAATAAAGATAAAAAAGAGTAATATCTTTTATTACTACCTCACTAGCAAAAGAATTCTTTATTATATTAAAGGCAACTCGGGAGAGGATAACTCTTGCTTTTTATAAAAAAAAGGAATAGCAAATGGATTTAGGATTTTAAAAAAAGAGAAATTGAATATTGGGATACTTTAATTGGATTAAGGGAGAGGAAGAGTTAGAAAGGAAGTGTCTCAAAGGATGAAGACAATTATCTCTATTTGCATTTCGAATAGAGATCGGGCTTGGGATACAAAGACTCAACACCTATACGCAGTGCATTCTATAAATCTCCAGCTCTCTTTTGAGAGTCTGTAAAGCTAAGATTAAATTGCAAATGGAATTGAAAGAATTAGAAAGAAAGAGGTATTAGAGATATAGTAAAGGATTATATTACAATTTTATAACAACAATATCTATAAAAAATTGAATATCAGCTTTAATATAGATATAAAGATTATAGAAATTCCGATTAGATTTGTCACGGGATCACCTCTGGGAGTATTCAGAAGCTTTACCGCTGAGCTAAACGCCCAAAAGACTAGGAGGTAGAACTGGAAGTTCTACCTTACTCTCACATATATAGCAGGACAGGACAGGACAGGACAGAAAGGGCTTAGTGTCACCCCGTGACAAGATTTAATATCTATTATCGATTATTATTTTATAAAAATAAGATATACAATAGATTTCTTCTCTTTAAAAAAGTCTTTTCAATATAAAGCTTGCTATCACTTTATTTGTACTACAATCTCTTTTTTTATACCCTTTAGCTTTCAGCCATTCGAATATTATAATAATATAATACAGAAAATACCATCACCTTCAAATTAATACTACTCTGGGCATCAATATAATATAACATTTTTCCTTTTAATTTTCGAATTTTCGAATTTTCCGAATTGATTCGTATATAGACTTAGAGCTCAGCTCTACCCCACTATTATCAATAATTTCGACTATATATATCTAATAAGAACTAGAGAATATCAAGTTTATAAATGTGACGGAAACGGTGTTGTAGACCACGTGGATCAGATCATGTGATGATCAGGTATTCATTATATAGAATACTCCGGAGCGGAACAACGATAACCGGATCGGCCGCAGGACCGATCACCGCTCCCGTGATCGGTACCCGAAGATCACCCAGTATATAATCCGATCTCTTCTCTACGAGAAGAGATCAGTTCTAACTGTAGATGAGGAGATATACACATTCTTATACTTATACCATTATTGTCCAATCATTCCCCTCCATCGTGATATGCTATTGTCCTGTACGATAATAAAAATATACAGAGGGCTAATTTAAAAGAAATAGAGATAAAAAAAATAGTGCCTTTTACTACTACTTCACTAACAAGAAACCCTTTATTATATTAAAGACAACTCGAAAGGGAATAACTCTTGCCTTTTATAAAAAGGAAAGAATAGCAAATTGGATTTAGGATTTTAAAAAAAAGAAATTGAATATTAGAATACTTTAATTAGATTAGGGAAGAGGAAGAGTTAGAAAGGAAGTGTTT